ACTTCTTTCTTTGTGCAAATTAAACTTAAGACTACATACTTTAATGCTGTATGTATAGAAAAAATTATTTTTTTAGTATTAAAATGAAGTTTAATCGAAACATTCAACCAATTTTTCTTAATATTATGACTACTGTATTCAACATATTTTCAAAACTATTGTTTACCATGTTAACAGCTGCATAAATACTTGAAACTTCATTGAAACTTGAGCATCAGAAGAAAGAACAGAGCCCCTACGAGTAATTTTAATTCAGAAATTTACAGATTTTATTAAAATCTTTGAAATGAAATTTATCTTCTTTTTTTGATGTCTTGTCACCGTATGAAAGCAAGCGCATTGATTTAGTCGCTTTGTAATTAAAATTTTAAGTAGGTTATTAATTTAGTGCGGCTTACCAGTGGATGCTCTATTGTTCACATCGTTCGCCCGTCTTCTCGTAATGATGCAGACGGCACTTAGAACCACACACAAGACAATGACAGAACTCACGACAGGGACAGTGATGATCAAATGACGATAGATCGTACTGCTCATTTCCCGAACTTGTGCAGGGTGAGGAGGATATTCTAGAATAAAATGCTCACATTAATTAACTGGTTTGAAGTGCATTTTTGACGTCATTAACAATATTTAAATAGCATAACGCTCAATATTTCGGAAGGTTTGAGTTAACTTTATTTCCCATGCATGCATTTTTTAATTTTAAAAAATGTGCAAGTGGATATAACTATTATAGAATTAATTTATTGAAATCTGAAAGTTTCGCTTACTTAAGACAATGATTAAAAAAGCAGTGGAAAGAAAACATAAAATTAAATTTAAAAAAAAAGTATTGTTTCAAAAACTACCACAAATTATCCAGTTCATTATTACTTTTTATTAAGAAATTCACCAATTTATTATCTCCTGATTCGATAATTGTTGTGATAATCCCAATTGTTATGCTAATTCCCAAAAATTAGAGTTGTAGCAAGAAAAAAAACCGATACCAAGGCCTAATCTTACAGAGGCTGAAAAAGTCAAAGCCAAAGAACGTAGACGGGAATACTTTAAGGTTATACACAAACGGAAGAACGAAAGAATTCCGTTCGCAAACACAAGCATAGATCCCGTCCCTCACAAAAGTACCAAAGTGGTTGCGCGAATCGAACCCTACCAAAGAGCGAATGGCGACTCTCCGAACCCCTTTCATGCAAATACGAGAAATGGGTGTTGATCACCAGTTAGGGATAAAAGGATCCACTGTCGACGTACCCTATGACTTGCTCAAGACCGCAGTTTGTCTTCCATGCAATGTAAATGTCTCATTCACTATTCAATTAAAATTGAAAAAAAGTTAGCTTTCAATTCCCATTTCAAGTATGAACTTGTGAATCCGAAACGGGTGTATGATGCAGCTTACAATCTCCTTCAAACACCATTGTACCAAGCCAAAAATGTTAATATTGATATTGATTGGCTGTTCAATGTCTATTCAGTCATCAAACGAATTTACACAGAATGTGTCTGAGCTGCATTGAAGTATGTGTGTCTTGGAAATTGTGTACCGAGCAGTTCAGGATTAACAGTTAAAGGCGTCCAAGTCAAAAACACAATAAAGTTACTTTTCCAAAAAAAAAAAAAAAAAAAAAAAAAATTAAAAAACAACCATTTTGCCAATGGGTAACCTGTGATCGCCGTGCAAGTATCACAATTTTTTGAATATTTTATATTTTCATTAGCATTTTACTTTAAAGGAAAACTGAAATAATCAATAAATATTACATTACTATTTAGATTTAAATATAAATGTTTCAAAAATCATTACTGTGTGGTAAATAAAAGCCCTAATTCTCGGAACCCAATTTTTTCAGTTATTTTGACATAAATAAATACAAAATAATGAAAACTCTATGAAAAATACGTTTTAAAAAATTCTGTGTCAAAGGGTTAATAGTTCACCCATTCTCTAATTAGCAAAAGTTGAATCCCTTGTGCGCTAAATCGCTGCAGTGCATAAATTCTCTATTTCATTTATTCACGTTTCACTGAATCAGTCCCTCTTCGTCCTTTCCTTTCCTTAATTACTTACTAAATCAATGATTATTCATAACAATAGTTGTTGTAGTGACGCGAAATGAAAATAATATGTTTTAAAATTTAAAAGTAAACAATCATATACAAGCAAACACTACAATAATCTTTAAAAATATCTTAATTTAAAAACGAACGCAAATGACGCAATAGTAACAGAAAATAAAAGGATTACGCTATTAAAAAGATATTTTTATGTAATGAAGTTTGCTACAGTGGAGGTACTCTCTCTCTCTCTATTTCCTTTCTCTCTTTCTCTAAACAAACGCAAATAAACACATAGATCCAAAGCTTTTCGGCAAGAAAGATGAAAAAAATCTTAAACTCAAGACAAATGTAATATATTGAACAATATATATTACCTCTTCCTGAAAAACTATCGAAACTTATGTTATCTTAACTAAGTAAGGCGTAGATATATGCTATTTAAACAGAAAAAAGGTCAATAAACAATGCATTCATTAAAATGTGTATTGATAAGCATTACAACACCTAATACAAACATCAAATGCTCCCACGAATATAGCATTACAAGACACTAACACCTGTTTACCTACTTTTATTATATTTGTAACAATTGCATTATTTCACAAGGCAGACTAGAGAAATATATCGAAGCAACACTGCTAGGAATACAATTTTTGAAGGTAAATATTTGGGAATTTCAAAAATGAAAAATATCAAATTGGATGGAACAAACATTTTTGAATGCCTAAGCAAAAATAATCCTAAAATGATTAATATATTGGGAATACTTAGTTCAGGTATTCTTTTCTTATAAAGAATTTCTACAATAGAGATAAGATTTCTCCATTATAGAAATCTAATCTTATCAGAAAGCATTTTGTTTTAAGATTATTTTTTATAAGTGGGCATGTAAAAGCATATAAAGTTTAAAGGAAACTATTTTAGTCGTATTCTTGTAAAAGTAGAGAGCAAAAAATAATGTAAAAGGAAAAAAAATAAAAATACACATTTACTGAATTCTTCTTACCTTAACTTGATAACATGAAGAATATAGTTAAAACATTGTATTTCGAAAAAATATTGCGTTTGTAAAATATTAAATTTTAATGTTGCTGCATACCAGAAAAAGCATAATAAAATTTATATTTTTGTAAAAAATATTGAGCTTGAATTCAAATTTTGACAACATTAAAAATTATTTCTTTGAATCGTTTATTATATCAAAAGTGTTTTTTAAATAAGTATTATTTTCAATTTAGAAAAATAATTCAATGTTTTTAGTATGTATTTAAAAGAAAAATGGATTATTTACAATTACCTTTTTTTATAATTTTTTTTTAAAAAAAAGTCCATTTTTGCAATAGGTTCCGCATTTTGATAACATGTTAAAAAAGACAGATTAGGTGATTTCTTTTATCTTGAGCAAAATGATTAAATTCAAATGAATATCTTCAAAACGTTTCAGTAAAAATTATAGAAAAAATATGTAACTGCCATAGTTTTAGTTTTGAGTCAATAATTTTCAACGTATGTATCATCATAATTTATCTGATCAATATAAGTGATCAAAAAAGTTTACCATTGCACGCTTATTTTATGGAAGAATTGATTAAGAATAAATACTATTTAGAATCTTCTTTTCTTAAACATAATTACATTAAACTCAAGCTGTTGTATTTTTTGAATAAACCATTAAAAAAGGAATACTAACCATTTTTGCAGAAGATAAATACTCTGCAATTTTCTTTTTGTCTGAGCAAATGATTCAGCAAAAATTAAATATTTGCAATCACATCTTTTTTTTCTTTTGTTTTGTGAAAAAATAATGTGTCAGAAATCTGTGGTTTCATAAAGCATATTTTAACTGCCGTACTATTACAATAGGGAAAAAGTCAATGATTTTAAGTTCTTTGAAAACCAACATATCTTAATATGATTCTATAACTTTTTAGTAACATGTTTTTATGTATGCATCTAATGAAAAAATAGAAATATTTGAATCTTCGAATAAGATAGTTACAGACATTGCAGAAATTAGAAAATTAAAAAATAGTTAACAATTTATGATATTAACATATTACAATAAACTATATAAATTTATCAAAGTTATTTTCGGCATAAGAATTATTCTCGTGCAACATTCTTTCAATATTATAAAACGTAATTAATTTCAAAATATTCCTTGCATAAAATATGAATTTTGATAAACTTAAAAAATATAAGTTTTTAAGTTAATACCAAAGAGTTACTTAGATTATAATATCATATTATATATTATTATAATAAAAATATTTGTTTCATTCTGCGTATTTTGTAAAGTAAGTTCAAAGAGTATAAACTTAAGAATAGATGCTTTTGGAATTTCAACATAAAATCTCCATGATAACGGGTAAAATAAAAACATAGTTTTTTCATTCAACAAAGATGTATTCATATTTTAGAAAGGGTATCTTTGAGATTAAAAGAATCTCTTTGCCTCAGCACAAAAGAAATGCATTTGTGTTTCCAAAAATATTTGTGTTTTAAAATGGATTTTTTTAGATTTTTGATGCATTTTTGTCATAGAAAGGAAAAGAGAAAAAAAAACCTCAAATGCTTGAAGAATATGCATTCTAAAGCATTTCCGTTTTACGCTTTTCTGAACGCAGAATATTTCTCTATGACCTTTAAAATAATTATAAAGAAACAGCGAGAGATGTAAGATTCAAAAATTTAAGATGTAATATTCAATACCAGTTGATACAATTAAATTACTTAGGATTACTCTAAAGTGAAATGAATGTTTAAAATTTTAATTTATTTATCAAAATATCTTAGCAGAAATACATATTCAATACGCATCAGTTGAAAAGGAATATTTGGTATTAGGCATATATTATTAGGCCTACTAGGGAAGCTAGGGATATTTAGAAAAAGGCCCAGAATACTTATTCTATAAAAGTTCAAACCTGGACCTGAGGTCAAACTAGGTAATAGCCCATCTCTTGGCTACTCTTTGTAGTTTCACCAAGTTGGTGATTATTACTGTGATCAACGTTGCTTTTTGATTATTAAAAAACAAACAAAAAAACAATTGAAATTGTTACAAGTTTATAAAAATATTTTTAATGGAATAAAAAACTTCTTTTAGTTCAATCAAACTCATTTGTTCTTCACATATAGGGTATTCATAAGATTTCGAAATTAAATTTTGATCCATACACCATTTAATCATCGCTTTCTTACCTCTTGCATTCAATAAGGTTAAAAATTCACTCATCCATTCGCTCGCCATTTGCAACCGGTACCGCAAAAAAATAAAAAATAAATAAATAAAAATAAATAAATTAATAAAAATAAATAAATAAATAAATGAAAGATAACGGTAATAAATTAAATAACGGTTAAAAAACGAAATAATAACGATGACTCTAGGCCTGGTCTCTTAGGAAGCGTTGGCGTCAGCTTGAAACGAACGTTTACCTCTGATTGGTTAATTTATGAGTTTGACAGCATACGTCATCGAACGCTCAGCTTGAACGACAAC